TCTATTATCATAGACATGAATACAAATATTTCATTTTACCTTATTACTACGAAGATTATTATAGAATTTCATTTATTGTAATATAATTATTAGTATCATTGAAAAACGTGACGATTTGCTACAAAATTTCTCCCATACGTCGATAAAGAAGTTTCATTCCAACGCCGATAAAGAAGTTTGACTTCAAAAAGCACCATGGCGCGTAACCGAAAAATGTGACGCGTAACGAAAAAATGTTACACTAAATTTTTTTCCAACCTCGATAAAGAAGTTTCACTTCAAAAAAAATATGTTAAGATTTGACCTAATACCTATTACTGAAATCTATTTGGACGTCGGAACTCGTCGGCTCACCTTAGAGTTGAGTGTGACAACAACTATTTAGTTATCAAAAAGTGCCCAAGGACGTGAAAATTTGAATTTTATACAGGGTCTTCTTTATCTTATAACATTAAGGAAATTATAAGCATTATTGTGTATTTTTAAAATAATCCCTTAAAAGCGTTCTTTGATGAAAATGCCTGCAGCCTAATCTTTTAAAGACACAACATCAGTACTAATAGATGAAATGCTAATATCACTTAAGACAATAAATAGCCCTCGGCAACATTAAGAGTTATATTGTATCAAAGAATATTTGCATATTATTCACCCTTCATTTTTGTTTACAGAAGTTTTTAATTTATCAAAAAATAATAACTAATTAACGTAACGTAACGTTAGTAACTACGATTAACTCTAATTCGATCAGTTTAATGAAAATTGATAACGATTCATCATTTACACCCAGATCTAGCCATTTTAATAGTCCTTAAATTTTAATATCCGAATACGTATTTGTTTCTTCCAATCAATTACAAACCGTACTAAATAACAAAATTAGACATACCGTCATCAAATATGTAATACTCAACAATTATTCAACCAGTAACATGAACCATTCCATGACGTAGATAATGAAATCCCTATAAACTGTTATGGTACTTACGTATTAACGCCACCGTGGCAAAAATTCTGGTAAGGTTTGGTTAGGTCAGGATAGTATATTAATATTTTATATTTAAATAACTGTTAGAATAATAACCTATAACCACTTTTACTCACCGAAAACAGTAGATTAAATTAAAATAACACTCAGAATAATACTATAACTTTGCCTTTCAGTATAAATACAAAAATAAAATCATTAGTAATAAAATCAATACATTGGCAAATATTAAAACAATTATTACAAGAACGTCTAACCAAGCGATACGACGAAGTTAAAGAGAGTAAAATAAAACGTGGCGATCGGCGTTGTCAAAAATTATGCACTACCCTCAAGAAAATAGTAAAAAAATATATTTATTTATTAATACTTCGTTGCAATAACATAATAAATTTGACAAAATTAAATGAAGAGGGGGACCTGGCGGCCATCGCTGGCGAGTAATCTCATCCAGGCAACCACTGTTGAAAGAAAATATATTAAATTGGATAATGTAAGCATGAAGTGCAAAATACATAATACATATTATAGTTATTTACAAAAAATTAAAAAAGGAAAAAACTAAACTAAAAAAATGACACATGAAAAATAATTAAAGTGCACATGAATCACGAAAATTTTAGATCAGACTCACGTTATCTATCTATTACGAACAAGTATAAAACCACCATATTAATGAACAGTAAAATATGAGATTCTCAAAACATATAGGGAACCATTATATAAACGAAACGATAATGTACATTTTTGCAAAACTTTACAACATTTTCTTAATTGTAAAATTAGAAAATAATTAAAATGTACCTTTGATTAAAAATCTCACTCAAGTGAACAATAGTCCCTTTTCCCTTTAAATTAAAAATTCCTCGGACAAAAAGGGTAAAACCACACGTGAGACGAATCTTAATTACTATTTAATAAGCAAATATTGGATATTATCTTAATTACATACCTCTTTGTTAATGAAAAGGCTTATATGATCTAAATATTTTATTATTATTACTTGGTATTTATAAAAATCCCTTAAACTCAATATTTGTTTATTTATTTATTGAAGTTTATATATGCTATATGCGTTATGTATGATTTAATCTATTCTAAAGTATATGTTACAAGCTATCTTTCCTATAATATATGACAATTTCGGTAAACATAAATGTTATAAAAATAGAAATGCTAGTAATTCTTTGATTATATAGCCGAGTTAATTATATTAGAAAAAACTTTAACACAAGCTCATGATAATATATAAGTTCCAAGGACCCAATTCTTTTTTATAAAATAGTTCTGTTATATACTCAAATGTTACCGTTGCATATAACAGAGTATATATGATGTCGATTTAAATCAAGTTCAGATAAATACCTCTACAACGTTTTGTGGATACTATTTTTCAATAATATTTACAACACTATTATTAAACAATTCACCAATAATAACAATTACTCTATGGATCGCCGCAGAGTAAATTACTTGCATTCAGTATTCCAATCTGGTAATAGACAAAGGGCTAGCCAAACAAGCTACAGGCTGACTGGACTAATTCTATCTACATGTCTTATCAAAGCTGTGATTGAGCTACGTGACTTACCTATGTTGTTTTATTGAAGCAAGTTATGGCACTACCTCAGATAAATGTTTATGATTTAATACTCTAAAGGTTTTAAAAAGAAAATGGACGTGGACGTGGTGAAAGTGCTATTCTATGACGATTTAGCATTCTGATAAACAATAAACTACAAGCTCCCTCCTTATCAGAATGCCAAATCATAAAATTACTGCTTCACGACTGATTTGAGCGTGACCGCCGCTGTGAAAACCGCTGTGTGAGTTCGAGAAGTGAGTTACAGAATCGCAAGGCTGGAGCCAAATTTGGATGTTACAATGTAAAACGAAAAATGATAGCCCACTTCGTTTGATTGTGATTAATTTAATTGTCAAGAGGTTATCTAGTCTATTAGCAGGCACGCGATATAATCCAGCTTTTCATTTGACAAATCAAAATTAAATGCGCGACCGTCTGGTATTACTGCTCCTGACTTTTTAGTATGCACATCTGACATAAGAGGAGTGTTGGTGGGCTCAGGTAGTAGCTTCAGGGTTTCGGTAGTTGCTTCAGTGGGCGCCTCTTAATGCCGAGGTCATGTATTCGAATCGCATAAACATTGTCTGATCATTTACTTGACTATTAAACAAAATAATCACGAAACAGATACAGAAATCTGAGGCCAAGACCTGGAACTCCTCCTCACTAAATGATTTTAAAATAGATTACGAAGTGAGTTTAGCCAAGTTTTAAAACCTGATAGTACTTTTCGAAATACAGCAGCTTAGGAGCTCATGGGATTATCTGTCCTTGACACTAATTCCCAAACACAATTAATTCCACTAATTATTAACTTCAATCAATTGGCATTTCACGTTGATTGCATTCAATTAACTGGGAATTACCTATTAGTCTATATCTAATTATTTTTCTATAATTATGCACTACTATATTCTATATACTGCATATATTTATATTTTGAGAAAATAGTGACATATGTATACAATATATTGTTGTAAATCAGTATACATGTGTACCTACTGATTTAGAAACGAGTAATAGAACATAAAGAGTTAATGCATTGATTTGTTAATATGTCTATATATACACTGCCCTGTATATACAGCATATGTATTATACAAAATATATATATAATCAGTGAATAAAGCGCCTGTTGTTGTTACGTCTGTAAATCACAGTCTTGCTTCTAGCAATTTGCAGGCGTTTAAGATCAGTTTACGGAAGCTGCTATCTGTTTTAATAAAAGAAGTGAAGTTAAAAATAATACTTATTTACTTCCATATTTATACTTTATAACCAGATGCTGGAACTTGTACTGTGTAGTACACTAAAAAGAGCCTGTAAAATGCAGAGTGCGACGACGGTTTCAAAGAACTATCGTCAAGTACGCTAATATGTAATCTTATAATGTGGTCGATATGGACTAACGTACATTTCAGTTAGATATAGGCAATCCAATGTTTAACTTTTATTTCAACCATATTGTTCGTATTTATGTCACTGATTGTACTAGACCACAAGCCCATGAACAAAAATACCTGTGAAATGACCCAACGTGAATTACGCTTAGAAGGCTGTTACTATATCTGAAAATAGCTCTAAGAAATATGCCGTCATTTCTGAGCGGTACATGTGAGTACGTGAGTGAATGGACTTTCTCAGGTACAATTGGGGAATTTCGACTATACCCTAAGGTCATTGTAAAATGTACGGCAACATGTTCAAAATTTATTTAACACGGGTAAAGTATCTGTATATGTGTCCAAAAGGAATTACACAAATCCGTACATATAAATACCTATATTGCTCCTGCAACTATCGTCAATTAAAAATTTGACCGACTTCCGGTACCATCACTTTAGTACGGCACTAAGTTTTTCGACATTTATTTGTAATCATCTATACACTTATAACAAAGCCGTACATTAATAATTAGTCGAAATTCCCCAATTGTACCTGAGAAAGTCCATTTACTCACGTACTCACATGTACCGCTCAGAAATGACGGCATAGTGCTCAGAGCTATTTTCAGATATAGTAACAGCCTTCTAAGCGTAATTCACGTTGGGTCATTTCACAGGTATTTTTTGTTCATGGGCTTGTGGTCTATACGTCAAATGCTGATGATGCATTTAATATGAAACAAATATAACTTAGCCGGGACTTAATCCAAGGCGACGAGCTATAACCAATTCTATTGCCTGCCGTCCACTGCGAGCGGAACGGACCCATTACGGACTCCGCTATACTCGTAACGATGATTTTCAAGAAGGTGGGCAAAAGCACCAGAGCTATAGAGTCAGCTATTGGCTATGAACCAGGCTGGCTGAAATTAAACAGATGTCACTTACATCAATGTCATAAAATATAAACTTTTTGAAATATACAAAAGGCACATATCAAATGTAATTTAATGAATAATTTCAATATATTAAACTGTGAGGAATGCCAAAACCAGATACAAGAGACTTCGAAGAGAGATATTCCTCTTGTTTCCTCGATTTGGGTGTTAAAACCGGTAAGATTATTAAGATTTTGTATAAATGTATGCGTTGCACAGCAAGACACATTTAATTAGACTTGAATAGATTTTGCATGTGAACATAATTAACGTTTAATCGTTATTTATTAATCATTATTTTTTTGTTTAGCAACAATGCAGTCTGCATTGGATAATTCAATAATCATAATTAAAAATATTATAGTCATAATCAGAATGAATTAATGTTTTGAATGAATCAATATTAATTCTTTAAAAAAATATAAGTATTTTTATTGTAATGGAAATGTTAAAATTTTTCTTTCTGTTTATGGTATGGTATATAGCTAATAGCCTAAGGCTTATATAGATATATTATATTCTCACATAACATAATGCTTATGTTTTATACATTATAACCTTATCTAATTTATGTATACTAACTTTATTTTAACAGTTGCAGGCCTCCTAATTGGTAGTATGTTGGGCAGTTTCTTCCTTCATGGCTATAAGAAATGGCCAATGTATATAGGAGGTGGGCTCGGCGTGGGGATGGCTTATAAAAATTGCGAAAATAGCTTAAACAATTTCCTCCTTTCAATGGATCCAAAGGCTTGTGTAATCAAGTAAGTATATTTTTCTATATTCAGAAATAAATCTATTTGTATTTGTTTTTTTTAATTATAAACTAATATAATATTGTAGATTCTAGATTCCTCTATATGATTTTAGTTAGCTAAACCGTACAATTGCAATTACAAATTTGCATATAGCTTTTTTAAGTGAGCGCAATAGGTAAATGATTATGGCTGTCATCTAACTAAAAGTATTCAAAGCTAGCTAAAGATCTTTCAGTAAAACAATTTTGCAACTGATTCGTTGTATCGTTTGCAAAGCCAAAAACTTTACAAGAGCATGCCGAAAACTTACAAAAATATTTTGTAAGTAATCGCCTTCTTGTCTTCGTGTTTGTCAATTTCTATTCATAAAGCTTCGTCACGGCTTAATTTAACTTAGTTACCGTCGTTAATGTGCAAACTCAGCAGCACATGCTATTATTTGCTGAACAATATGGTTAAAACCGATAATGTTCTTTAAAAAAGACTACTATTCTTTTCTGGTGAGTTCGATTTTAAACGGTTATAAATAATTTGCATCTGTATGCAATAGGAGATCAAGTTTTGACAGGGTTGCCATTTTAATATTTACAAATAAAAATGTTAATATTTTTAACAGAATTTAGGAGAATCAATTCGAAGAGTAATTTTTTTCAACAATACTTAAATATGTTATCAAAAACTTTAATGAGAAACCGATGTAACTATTAAATCGTAAACAGCATTTTTCTATACAATATTATTACATCATAATTATATTATTTGAAAAAGAATCCATAATAAAGCCAAAAATTTAATTATTGGTCTTAAAACTTTTTCACATATAAAATCTGTGATTATCTATAACAATTGTCTGTAGTATTGCAAAGTACTATACATATAACCCATTTATCGTGCCACCGCTTGGTCAATGGTGAAGACGTTAGTTCTTTTCATAGACACAGCGGGTTGTTTCCTTGCACCTTTGTCTGCATAAAGGTCAGTTACATCCTCACCTATTCAAATAACTTCTTTTGTTTCTGCCCTTTCTATTATGTGAAATCACTTTGCTGTTTGCAAACTTACCGCCTTGCCACCTACAGCGCTTTTATCGTGTATTCTATTTTGTTATGTAATCCATTGTGTAAGAGCTCAGAATAGCTTAAACAGTTTTTACGTTTAGTTGGGTCACTTGTTTCAATTTCAACGTTTTCATTTCGATCGTTTGTGAGTCATAGACGGTTTGCTTTGAACTTTTCGACGGTTTTTTTAACCTCAATTATATTTCGTTCGGATTGCCTTTATTTGTGCCTGGCTTGTGTACGCTGGAGGCGAAGAATGGGATGTCATCGATACAGAATTTTTTGTGTAGCCGCTAGTTTTTTTAACCGTTCGGAATTAAGGTCTATTGAATTTTCGTATGGCAATATTTTTGATATTGGATAAATAACTGCGTTGAATGTTTTCGTACTAGTTTTCATAATTTTAGTTGCAGTATTGTATTGATATACTATCTAAACTAAAGATTTTATTATGAAGTTAACAAAAAAGGTTGGTATTTATGAATATTAAAAAAAATTATAACACTGTTCTTTTCTTTATTTTCAGGAAGAAACCATAACAAACATGAATTAATTTACAAGTGACGATGACCTCAAAACCCGGTCAAAAATTTTACATTATAACTATGATTTTTTCCAAATATTAAGTTATTTTTCTGAATGTAAATATATTAATTTAAATAAAATCATCACATTTCTTTACTTTTATTACATTCAAACAATAAGTATGATTTTTGATCATAAATCAAAACACCATAATAAAAAACATAGCTAGTCTAAGTATGTAAAACCTCAATATTGGATTCGATTTCCAGTGAATCAGTTGGAATTCACAATATTCTCCAATAAAAAATATAAACAGATTGCAATATTTCGGGGAGAAAGACGGGCAAATAGGTTTATATTTTTTTAGAATAAGCAGCATACGGGCAAAATTATACTTCGGAATCTTTGGTTAATTTTCTAAATTCAAATTTGTGTAACGCCAAAAACGTATTTCAGTGTACCCAAGTACACATTCAAAAAATGCCTGATAACGTATGTCATATTAAACTGTCTCTAAACATCCTTTGAAATCAACAAAAAGCTTCCCGACTTCACTTTGAGGGCACTTGACACCATGCTAAGGTAACGAGACTGTAACTATCATAATTACGTACTCTGAATAGCATGAGTCACGAGTCATAGTGAGTCATCAGTTCAGTGAAATCATTGGCTGATGCAACTTGAGCTATGAAATTGCGGGAAAGGTTTAAAAAATGTTTGTATGGAATTTATTATGATTTATATGCAGAATTGAATACAATACTATCGACTGTATTGTTTCTATATATTTTTTTATTAAAATGCAGGGTGGTTATATTATAATCTATTTATTTGAATTGTTTATCTGACAGGTTTCTCAGTTAAATTAATTCATGACACGCAATGAGTTAGGCCATACTATGTCATCCGTTACAATAATGAAAGATAAATAATTATAGGTAAATAGATATCTGAATGGTGCAACTCAGCTTCACAATTTAATGCCTGATTAGTTAACGACTGATATCAGTAACCAGGGTAATGAAAATTGTACTAATTGGCTGAGGTGGGTAGATCTTAATTCTTAATGAACGTCTCCAAGTATGACTCTTAACTGATTTTTTATAAATAGCATTAGCTAGTCGTCAAGCCTTGACAACAATAGATTACAATATAAGCAAAGTAGATAAAAATGAAAACTAACCGTCAGAAATGCAGTTGCATTAATCCTACAAACATGGTTTTGTCAATTAAACATTTAAATTTTAAACAATAAAACGTTAAAATTATGCTTTATATTTGAATAGAAATAAAAAAAACAGAATTATGTTTTTATTTTATTAAGGTCATGCTTTGATTTTAGATTTTTTTTAGGAGAAATCGAGCAACTGTTCGGAAACATTAAAAAAATGCAAGTTTGTCGAGTTCATTCATAATGGAACGTAGACTATATCAATTAAATCTAAATTATTGTCGATAACAAAGGATTTTTTTATATAAAGAATTTCCTGTTACTAAAACCTCAAACTAGTGCTTTTAACAGAGCTGCAAAAACAATGAAAGTTCATCGAAGTCAATTTATATAATAGCGACCAATCAAAACGTGATAGAAAAGTGCCACACGCATTTCCCTTACTTTGCTTAATGGCTGGAAAATGCTATGATATTGTTTTGTTTATTATAGCTTTTTTTTATATTAGATGTAGAATATCTGCTTCAATTGAATAAGGTAGCAATAGCTTTTAATATTTTATAAACTTTCTGTTGGTTTAAACTCGCATCAAAGCTTGCGCATAAGGTACATGTTTAATCATATTTTTTTCTCAATGTTCTTTGTTAAGATCTGTTACGTCGTGTCAACTATGAGTAACCCATACGCAAAAGCCTTGGTAAATAATTGGAAAATTAGTGAATTGTGTCATACAAGGACATATTTTCCGCATTTACTTATTTTCCGTATTTATTTATACGTATATTTGTTTTTGATTGCTTCTTGTTTTTATATCGAGAATGTTTAAAACTCAAATAGCCAATAGCCAACACTTGATGAAACCTGTTTCGCTGTTTTATGATCTTTATGGTTTCCGGTTAACGATCGCCAATAAAACTTACCACGCTATTCACATATTAGCTGATGGAAATCTAAGCCATTATGCTTTTATCATACATTATCACAGATTATTCAAATAACCTATAAAAGTATGTAACGTCTAATTGACAAATGCCAGATTCAGACATAATAATTTATAGGTTGTAAGAAATTATACATTATGTAATTTTAATCCAAATGAAGTTTTATTAATTTAAATTAGACTTCTATATTTATATTTAATAAATAAGCAAAAATCGGTCACACACTTCACCGTAGTCAAAAATTATAATGAAAGTAATATCGCAAGCATTCCGTATATGTGAGTCGTACACCATTAATATTACATAGCAAAAGAACAAATTGCGTGGGTAAAAGAACCTATTAAAATAAATCTATCAATGGGGCTACAACCTCTTTTTAGGTGGACCTCAGATTTCTGTAGCTGTTTTATGATCATCTGTCAATCTAATAGGCAAGTAGGTGATCAGCCTCCTGTGCCTGGCACACGCCGTCGACTTTTTGGGTCTCAGGCAAGCTGGTTTCCTCACGATGTTTACCTTCACTGTTCGAGCGAATGTTAATATATAAAAAATGGAACTCCATTGGTGCAATGCCGGGGAACGAACCTACGACCTCAGGGATGAGAGTCGCACGCTGAATCCACTAGGCCAACACTGCTCAAAAGAAGCTCTGATAGTTAGAAAAAAAAAACTGAAAAATATAGTACAATTTAACGTTATTACAATATTATTTTAAGCAAAAATGTCATGTCATGTGAGAGTAATGAAAATGTTTTCCGACGCTCCTTTATTACCTAGGATATTAAAATCTGGGTTTAACAAACAGTAACCACTACTAACGTTTAAATAATTTAAAATGTAACGTTTTAATAAATTGAAACGAATCGAAATAATCAGTGATACATTGAGAACTATGCCAAGTGTGAAATGTATATTATTTCATACCGAAAGTAGTCACGACATGATAAACTCCTAAATCCTAAAACAGTATTGATGGCGATTAAACGGGTTAAATAGGCGCAAGGAATTATTAAAGGAAAAATTAATTTACCAATGCAAGGAAAATAGTTTATTTCTGTACTTTATCTACGCTACTTTGGTCATTTATGTAAGCGATGCAAATTAACCTTGTTCATATCAGATATATTATTTATAACAGTCAAATAAATTAATTAAAAAAATTACGTTAATATTATATATAATGATTTTGACTACTTTGTTGTTTTATGGATTTTGTAAGTTACTTTTCTTTTTTTCCATCAAATTATTATTTTAACGATTACGCTTGCCAACGTCCATACCACGTTGAATACACCGGTTCTCGTCCGATCACCGA